TCCACCATCAGTTACACCCGGTGGACCAGTCGCCCATCGCACAAGGGAACAAAGGGCAAATCGTCGAAATAATGCAAGAGTGTGCGAGTTGTGTTTATTTCAAGTTATGTTTTGTTTAAATTTAGTTGAACAATGGTGTTTTTAGTTGGAGTTTTTTTTTAGTTTTTTCATTTAGTGTGTTTGTGTTCGTGAAAAGTTTTATTCAAAAAGATGGAAAAGTGCACCAAAGTTTGTGTTTTGTGCAAATCTCTAAGTTTGTGAAAATTGCACCAAATGATATGATCCCAAATTGCCCACCACTCACGTCACAATTACTTGACAAAGAAGCTATCAAAGTTGGGAAGAAGAAAGGCAGAATTTGGCTTAGTCAAAATCCGTGTTCAGGGTACATACTTTGGAGGCATGGTTCTCTCAATTGGCTTGGTGGAAATTCGATTTTAAGGGCTTGTTTTTCAGATAAAGTTACCATCTTTCCAATGGTATGCTTGGTGGATCCAGATGATGTCATTAAGGTTGTTTTCCAAGGCCTCAAAGTTGCTACCTCAAAACTGGAAAACTGCCAGAAAATGGCTAAGGCAGAAAACTGTTTTGTGAAGCCTACTTTGGAGCTCAATTCAAGGAGCATGGATCTGATTCGAGACCAAAGGCTTCTACAACATGAAACTAGGAATGTTTATCTACCAAGGGAAGGAATCGGATGAAAGATCGGAGTTCTAGAAGGCCTTGTACAAAAGGCGCGAAGTTGGTACGAAGTCACAAAATTCTGCCTTTGTAAAAACAGAATTGTTTTCCTTATTCGATTAGGATTAGGTCCTTTTTGCTACTTTTTAGTTCTTATTCGTATTAGATTGTAATTATGAGTTGCTTGTATGAAAGTTAACCCTAGCTAGGCCTATTTAAACTCGTCTTTAGCATTGTAATCGTCAGACTTTGATTAATCGAAATTGAGAACAATCTCCTTGTGCAAGTTGCGACTTGTGTTGAGTTTGGTGGATTCCAAACTCGTGAGCTCTTGTATCGATTGAATAGTCACGTCAATCGTGGTCGGTCATCTACCTTTTATACCATACGAGCTTTCCCCAGGTGTGGAATTGTCCGTTGGTTCCGTTTTATCCCAAGTTCGTATTAAGAGCGCTTCGTTCTTGATTCGAGCTCAATCGATTCTTCGATTGAGTCGTTTGCTGCGTTACTTTGATAATATACACCCCCCAGGGGCGTATCACCAAATTTAAGCACACAACATACAAGTAGAGTAACCATTGAATTTAATAAACAAAGATGGAACAAACGCATGAAATCAAGCTAAGCGCCATTATCCGGGTTCACCACATCGGGCCCTGCATTTTGAGGACCAATTGGTCCGGGACATTTTCGTTTATCATGACCGGGTACTTTGCATATGGAACACCGCCTTGGCCCCCGCGGTGGTCTTCCACTTTGATCCATTTCATTTGGAATCCTTTTTACCCGTGGGCGCCCTGTTACCCGCCTAAGACCGATTGGTGGAATGATGACCATACCCTCATAAACTGGCCAGTAAGCTTCATTCGGCAATACACGGAAACTAGTACGATAACTGCTCTTTTGTGAGTCAATGTTGAAGAACGGACTGACGAAATGACGAGGGTCTTTGCTCCTGTGCTTTATTGCAGCCATTGCATGAGAACATGGTATCCCTCTACCCTGATACTTCTGACAAGAGCACTCCCCCTTTTTAGTCCTAAAGTTGACGGTGACTTCATGGCGATGACCCCCACGTCTCCCATCCTCCCAGTGCCCAGTCTCGACCGAACACTCGCCAGCATGTCGGTTCATCACAGTGACGGTGTGATGAGAGCTCTTCCGATTATCTTTTTCCATTATTTTCATGACATAATCGGAGTGTACCTTACCCTGTGCCTCCCTATTCTCAGACCAGTGGAGATGGTTGACAAACCATCTGTTTGTTTTCCAGAATGTCATTTCAACAATTGCAGAGATGGGGAGTGCACGCCATTCCCTGAAGACGTTGTTGATACTCTCGCTTGAGTTTGTTGTGGCAATACCCCATCTGTGACCTCCGTCCTTATGAAAAGTCCACATTTCAAGGTCATGTTGATCAAGCCACTGCGCACCTTCAGGGCATATTTGACTGATATTCTGCATCTTCTCTTTAAATTTCTTCTTTTGGTACGCGACAGCTGTTGAATATAAAAAAAATCAGATAAGCAAGATCGACCTTATTGCCAATACAAGTACACTCGTAAGACTCTTAGGAGAGGTATACATCTCCTTAGAAACACAGTCTCTTTGACAGAAAAAGGGGGGATCCGAGGATCGCTTAGAACCCGATTTTCCCAGGTCATGGGGGGATCATGATGATCGCTTAAGTCCCCATTTCCTTAGACATGCATTTCTTTATAAAGAGTCTATATAAGTGTTGTATTGTATTGAAACATTCCATACTTTTATACAAATGAAAAAATGTACAGAGACACAATTAATTAGAACGCTTACCGATCCACCATATACTGTCAGCAAGCTTCTTTCGCTTGAAATGATGGTTCCAGTTGCTGTTGAAATGCCGTATGCACCATCTCTGTGACCAGTTCCAGGCTGGATCCAAGCCTAAGATAGCAGCCCGTATTCCGGCGTGGCGATCTGAGATGATAGTCAGGTTCGTCCGCCTAGTGACATGGAGCTGAATTTGTCTGAAGAACCAGCCATAGCTATCGGTATTCTCTCCCTCCACAATGGCAAAGGCTAATGGATATACTAATCTATTAGCATCTGCTCCGCTGGCAATCAGTAGAGTACCCTTGTACTTGCCGGTAAGGAATATTCCATCAACTTGAATCACAGGAACACAGTATGGAAAACCATCAATACATGGCTTGAAGGCCCAAAAAAGACGCTTGAATTGGCGATTGTTACCAGGCGCCGGCGATTGAATTTCTTCATCTTGGTAGCAAGGCGAGAAAATGGTGCCAGGGTTAGACACCTCCAACGCCAAAATCAATTTGGGAAGGAATGCATATGATTCTTCCCAGTCACCAAACACGGCAGCCATTGCTTTCTGTTTCCCATGCCATGCTTTCTTGTAGTTAATGATATAACCATAACGACTAGAAATGTGGGTGATGATGGTTTTGACCTTCAGGTCGGGCTGCTCCTCAATTAGATGTTTGATAGTCGCGGCAACCACCCTTGATTTCAACTGTCGATGGCCTTGGGATGTTATTGATGACACACATGTGTGTGTGTTCACCGCACGGGATATGACCCAATGGCCGACTCTCTTGCTCTTGATAGCCCGAACCCTAGCTTTGCATCCCTCATTTTCATTTTTGCATCGAACCAGCAGCCTCTTTGTGTCGGAATGGGTTGTTTGCCATTCAAAACTCCGAGTCATTGCTTCAGTGGAAATAGCGTGTCGGACCTCATTCTTCGTTGCAAATTGTTGGCCCTTCGTAAAGCCAGTTAGTGGACCCCATACTGGCACATCTGGCGGGTCCATGTCGGCATCAACATACCAATCTTCACTTTGAATGTGATTGTAGTATGGAATAGGTACACGGTCGTGAGCTACCTCATCACCATCTGCGTCTGAATCTGGACCGGAATCATCAGCACCCTCCAACGGATCGTCGCTGTCAGCACTAACTTCGCCTTCCTCTTCTTCAACCTCAGGGTCACTAACTGGACTTGGATTGAACTCTTCTTCCATCTGACTACCAGCATGAAAGGCACCTTCACTAGCTCCGTAATGGTAGTTGTGGTAACTAACACCGCTTTGATAGAAGTTGTAGTCGGGTGGGTATTGGTAGCCTGCTTGTTGGTTGTAATCCGCCTGTTGAGCTTCTTCTTCATATGAAGGGAAGGATTGATGACTTCCTCCAGTACCATGATGATACTCCTGCCTCCAGCTCGACTCTTGGAAATCCTGGTGGGGATGATCTTCGTATAATACACTCCCACCGTGGATACCAGATGTTTGGCCATCTCCAGAATGACCTACACTGCCTTCGACGACCTCGGTGTAAACGAACATCTCCGCTTGCTTAATTTTATTGGTGGTCAAAAATTGGACCATGGCATCAACGTCCTCCTGAGTGGTAAGGAGGAATTCCTCATGCCACAGCGACCCGTCATGTCTGTTTGGATATCGATACACCATTCGATCAACTCTTCTAGTGCCATCCATGCAGGTAATCTGAGTGCACATTTGATGGAGCTCTTCAAGCATCGGTCTCGTACGGACCTTCATTTTATAAAAATTGCCACCGACGTAACTTACACCCTTTTCGGTCTCTTCCGTGTAACCATTCCACCGCAACCCAAGCGTGAACCTTTGGAATGCCATCTGCAATGAAAAGTAATTAAGTTACTAACATAAAATCACAAATGACAATGGAAAGTAATTAAGTTACTAACCTAAAATCACAAATGACAATGAAGAGTAATTAAGTTACTAACATAAATTCACAAATGACAATGAAAAGTAATTAAGTTACTAACATAAAATCACAAATGACAATGAAAAGTAATTAAGTTACTAACATAAAATCACAAATGACAATGGAAAGTAATTAAGTTACTAACATAAAATCACAAAGGACAATGAAGAGTAATTAAGTTACTAACATAAATTCACAAATGACAATGAAAAGTAATTAAGTTACTAACATAAAATCACAAATGACAATGGAAAGTAATTAAGTTACTAACATAAAATCACAAAGGACAATGAAAAGTAATTAAGTTACTAACATAAAATCACAAAGGACAATGAAAAGTAATTACGAAACAAACTTACGAATAAACGTTAATAGCAAAAACTAAATAATTTAAAGCTGAAATTTTAAGAAGGAAGAGGAGGAGGTGTGAAGAATTGAGTTCTCTGAAACCGCCTTTTATAGGCAAATTTTGCACCAAAACCGCTGGGGGGGGGGGGGGGGGTGGGGGAGCGGTTTTAGGTCTGCCATGAAGCCCTACATGCCCTACCCCCTGCATGCCGACATGTCCGACATGTTGGCTGTCGGGTGACCAGGCACAAACCGCGCCTTGGGGCAGCGGTTTGTGTCCTGACACTATAAAACGCCGCTTGGAGAAGCGGTTTGTGTCCTGACACTATAAACTGCCCTTTGGGTAGGCGGTTTGTAATGCCGACACATAAACGCTCTTTCCTAAAGCGTTTTGTGGTAGGGTTAGCCTATAACCGCTCCTTCCAAAAGCGTTTTGTTCTGGAAATTAAAAACGCTTTTCCGTGGCGCGGTTATTATGTAAAACGCTTCCTGGAAGCGCGGTTTTAGTAAAAACCGCTCCATAGAGGCGCGGTTTTAAATAAAGGATGGTATTTTTGGAAATTATTTGGAGTGGGTGGTATTTTTGTAATTTTTTTTTAAACAGTGGTAGTTTTGGATTTTTTCCGACATTGTTTGCGCCAAGGGCAAGCACTTCGTGGGCATGATGAATCAGAATCTTCAAAGAATAGAGGGAATTTTATTGAACTACTGAAATTTCCTGCTCGTGGTAGAGAGGGTGTGGAAAGTGTTGTGTTGAGAAATGCTCCAAAAACCTTCAGATGACTTCCCCAGAAATTCAAAAGGATATTGTCCATGCAATTGCATGTGAAGTGACCAAGCAAATCATATGCGACATTGGAGATGATGTTTTTTCCATTTTGGTGGATGAGGCTCGTGATACATCAATCAAAGAGCAAATGGCTATTGTGTTGCGCTATGTAAATGATGAAGGATATGTGATGGAGAGACTTCTTGGGATTGCTCATGTTTCAGATACTAAAGCCTTAACACTTAAGAAGGAAATTGAATAGATACTAGTGAGGAATGGATTGAGCTTGTCAAGAATAAGAGTACAAGGTTATGATGGAGCTAGCAATATGAGTGGGGAAATCAATGGGCCCAAGGCTTTAATTTTGGCAGAAAATTCATCAGCTTACTATGTTCATTGTTTTGCCCATCAACTCAAGTTAACACTTGTTGTTGTTGCTAAACAACATGGTGATGTTAGTGGCTTCTTCACACTTGTTACCAACTTGATAAATTTGGTAGGAGGATCGTGTAAGAGGATGGACAACATTAGAGAAAGTCAGGCTGCTAAAGTTGTTGAGGCATTATGTTGTGGTGAACTTGAGACTGGACGGGGTTTAAATCAGGAAGTTGGTCTTAAAAGGCCTTGTGATACTCGTTGGGGATCACATTTTGACACACTTCTTAACTTGCCTGTGATATACTCTTCTGTTATTGATTGTTTGGACATCATCAAAAGTGAGGCAAAAGGTGATGCAAAAGCTGAGGCATATGTCACATTGATGTGCATCAAAACTTTTGATTTTGCATTCATCTTGCATGTGATGATTAAAGTCTTAGCGATTACCAATGAGTTATCTAAATCATTGCAAAGGAAAGATCAAGACATAGTGAATGCCATGCACCTTGTTTGTGGGGCAAAACTTAGATTACAAGATTTGAGAGATAAAGGATGAGAGTCTCTTCTTGATAGTGTGGTTTTTTTTTTTTTTTTTGCAAGAAGGAATGTCTTCCTATTTCCAACATGGATGAGTTATACATTCTTTCTGGAAGGCCAAGGAGAAATGCTCAACAAATGACCAATATGCATCATTACAAGGTTGAGTTATTCTATACAGTTGTGGATATGTAGTTGCAAGAGCTTAACAGTCGCTTTGATGAAGTGAACACTAAATTGCTATGTTGTGTGGCTTGCCTAAATCCAGATGATGCATTTGTTGACTTTGACAAGAGAAAGTTGTTAAAACTTGCTACCTTTTATCCTAGTGAATTCTCTGATGATGATATCTTACATCTTGATCCTCAGCTTGATACTTATATCTTTGATGTGAAGACGGATAACAGGTTCACTAAGTTGAAGGGAATTCCCGATCTTTGTAGGGAAATGGTTGTGGCAAAGAAGTTTCGACCATTTCCATTGGTGTATCGACTTGTGAAATTGGCATTGTTGTTACCAGTTGTCACTGCAAGTGTCGAAAGAGTATTTTCCGCCATGAACTACGTGAAGAACACACTACGAAGTCGAATGAGCGATGAAGGATTGAATGATTTTTTGGTAGCATATGTTGAGAGTGACATCGTAGATAGGTTGGATGATGAATGTATTTTACAGACTTTTCAAGATATGAAAACACGTCGTGGATCATTGTAAACATTAATAATTTTTATTATATATATATTTTATTTCGGACCTACCTTAAGTGAAATTCTGGCTACGCCCCTGCCCACAACCACACCAAAACAAGGTGCTTCCTCGTCATCATTCTTACCTTCGACCCAGCGAAAGAATAGACAATTTTTTTGTATGCTTCTACCAAAGAGATTAAGAAAGCAGTAAGGTATTATAACTGTCAATGAATTCCCTCCAATTGAACAACTCATGCTTATATTATGTTCCAATAGGAGCAACAGTAGAATTCCCACCCTGGATTGAGTTCAGTTCCAGAAACATAAGTGATAGCTGTTATATTCTGCCCACACTTAATGATACGACAATTGGAGGAATTAGAGTCAGAATTGATTTGAGCGATTCTTCTACCTGAGATGTTTAAATTGCCGCCACAAAGCCCACAATTATGTAATCATCGCACCAGGCTGTCGCAACTATCACCTCTCCTTGACGATGCAATAATCTAGGTCGCTTCTCACCGATCTAACTACCTTCGTCACTCCGTGTTCATGGAAACCACTGTCGACACTCCGTGCAGACACAACTATCACCGTTTCTCCATGAAACCACAACACCACCGTCACTTTGAGCACATGCAACTATCGTCATCCTCCCCTTCCTCCATCTTCCATTGCCTCGGAAACGACGTCCAGACCAAGTGTGGGTTGTGGGATCATAGAAGGTAAGATGGAGGGAACATGAGAATGAGGTAAAATGAGCTCGAAAGAAGGAGGGGCAATAATTAGTAAATAAAATATGTGAAATTTGGAAATAAAAAAGAATTTATTAATTTGACGTGTCAACCGACGTGGTTTCTACGTGGCCACCACGTATGTGCAACGCAACCAACAATCATCACTTAATGGACGTTTGTCTGGTCAACCGTTATCTATAATGGATGAATGGTCAACAAAATCATCATGACACAAATGACACACAACTATCATACAGTGGGGTATTTTCGGAATATTGAATAGGTTGGAACACAAATCAGATGTTTCATATAGTTCGGGTTTTCTAGTGATATTAACCCTTATCACAATGATAATATAATGATATGATAGTCATATGACAATATTATTTGTCTCACCATAGTGGTAAGATGATGTTATGAATACTTAACATCGCAGAATGATGTTGGTATGATTGTAGTATCTAGTAAGATATTATGAAGTCTTATATTAGGAAAAAAATTGATATCATCATTCCGTTATCACAATGTCATGATATGATAGTCTATTTTACATATTGGTAAGACAATGATATAACACTAATAAGATGACAACAAACACAAATTTTTGAATGAGTAATTAATCTTTTGCTTAACACTCTTAATTGTTAGCACCATGCTAACACTTTTACTAAGGGTATTATAGTAATTAGTCATTTTCCCCTTCCTCTACGTTGCCATTTGTAGTGTTTTATTTATAAATTATAGTTTTGATACTTGAACTTAATATATATTAATTTTTAGCACCTAAAATTAATTTTTTTACATTCTAGTCCTAAAATTATTGATGAAAAATTATATTTTAGTACATGAAGTTTTTTTTCTTACATTTTGGTACCTAAACTTTTTAATTTACAAATAGTTCCACTACTAAGGAACTTCTCGAAAGCTTTGAAAAATTTCTAGCAAGCTTTGAAAAACTTCTGGCATGATTTGAGGTTTTGGCCTACTTTGAGATTCTAGTAGACTCTGAGGTTCTGAAATGCTTTGAGGAGGTTATGGCCTACTTTGAGGTTATGGCCTACTTCGATGGTCCCCCTCCATTCCTCACTTTTAATGCAAAAAAGATAGCTAGTCCCCGCTCCCCTTTCTCAATTTTTCATAATAACAAACATGTCCCTTCTTCTCCTTTTCCCTTATTAACTATGGTCAACTCATTTAAATGGAACAATCATTCAACAAAATATTTTTATTGGTTAGAGCAAGTGTTACCACCATGCTAACAAAAAAAAGTGTTAGCTCTCTAGCTAATTCACATTTCCTCTCTTCTTTGGATTTTATGTCTGAAAAATAAAATAAATAAAAATAAAGAAGGGTGCAGAAGTACCAGTTCACTCCCCATTGTCTCTTAATGAATTTGGGGCCATTAGATTACATGTTGATGAACGGTTCCACATCCAAATTTTATAATGTTATGTAGTTTTGAATTGTCTAATTTCTCTGCTCCCATAATCAACATCCCTAAAAAAAAATAATCATAGTAATCAACCGGAAGAGTTGAATCCGAATAACACTTATCTCATAATTATATTTTTGTTAGTGGTTTTGTGATTCAGTCAATCCTATGTTGAATTAGTGTAGTTAATTAGCACGAACAAATACCATTAGATCACTCTCAAGTCAAATGATCCTTCAACATTATTATTAATGAATGATGATAATATGTACAATTATAACAAGTAAAGTGAGTATGTGAACATAATTCAGAAAAGTTGCTACTTATTTATATACTCAAAATCAGTGTAATAGTCTAGCTGACATATTGCTTCTCAAGAAGGCTTCCACAGAAGGTCAAGTCCAAACGCTCTTCTGAAATATCAATGTTCAATGGCATGCTTCACAAGAAGTGGGAAGTGATGGATCTGTTCGTTGTGGGTTTCTGTACCATGCTGCAGTTTAAGGGAGATGGCTAGAGTTTGCAATTCTCCTGGCCTCAGGTTTCATGTCCAGTTTTGATTCTGTTCTTTTGTCCTCTGTTATTTCTGTTTTCGATAAGAGATTAACCAAATCATGTTAATTATCGATAAGAGATTTTTTCGTTTCATCCGTAAAATTTTATTTCTGTTTTCCTCTCACTTTGGCTGACAAACTTGAATGGTATTTTTTGGAAGCGGGATCACCAGTGCTTGCTAGAGTTGGCTCGGAACTTTTGTCTGCATCTAAGTTCATCCCTTCGGATGGAATAAGTAACAGGTGATGATTAAGTCACTTTTGTTGGATTGATCAGACTGCTTTTGGACCTTTTGCTCTGACCTCAAATATGAGATTTCATCCATCACACCATAGCATACATGTAGAGAGCCTTCTGAAGGTTGTTGTGACTAAATAGGGATTGTGAAACATCATCCAATGGGAAATGTTACACAGGGAAAAACTCTTTGGTTCAGTACGACACGAGATAATTATTTGTTTGTTGTTGTTGTTGTTGTTTTAAGGTCATCAGAGCACATGGATACGAATGATTATAGGAGGCAGGAGTATGGTGGTGAGGGTAATGGAGACGCCAATCTCTGCCTAGCTTTAGGGCCTATACTGAGGATGAGTGGAGGAAGAACATAGAGGCGTGGAAGTAGACAGATAGCCCAGTTTGGTTGGTTGGTTAAGTTGACAGAAATTTGGTTTAGCCCAATCCCCTACGTAGGGGCTATGACTACTTTCATACCTCTCGTTACCAACTTCATACCATATGGGATCTCCTTTGTTTTTTTAGTCGTTTTCGAAAATTTTTGCATAGAAGGAACGATTTAATCATGATCTACTGGATTTCAAATTTTTCCAGGTGAAAAAATTTCACACCTCTCGTTACCAACTTCATACCATATGGTATGCTGTTATTTAATACCAGTTAATACTATATAGTACTACAGTCAATACCATATGGTATAGACTCATAATAACTGGCAAATATATTTTGTTCCAAAAAATATCAAAGTGGATACCATTTTGAAGAGCACAATTAATCTGATCTAACTGTGTAAAAAAAAAATGAGTGAGAAATCGTCCGTTAAAGATTCGGAGAAGAAAAATTAAAGGTTTTTCGAGGAGAGAGAAGGATGCGCTGATATAGCGGATTCTTATTGGGTTATGCATGGGGTTATAGCACCACAAGGTTACTCACCGGATATGCTCCCCTCTTAACCTATCAAACCAAATTAACCAGTTAAGTAATTAGCAATATATTTAATATATATTATATACTCATACTTAATACTTATACTTTGCATATATTTGATTGAAGATGACCCCATGTTTAGTTGGAGAGCTTCCTGGGCAAGAATAAAAAAAAGAGTCAAATGTTACTTCCTTTTAGACTCATAAAAAATAAATCTCAATATTGCTTTTATTATGTATATTTGTATTTGTTGAGTGTGGACCTCACTATATGGACGTCTGATTTAGATAAAACTCAAATATAATGTTGGATGAATACTTGACAGGAAGGTCTTTTTTCAGCTTATGATAATTTCTAAGAGACTAAGTCAATTCACACAAACACAACAATTCATTAACCCTAACCATTGGCATATATTTTTGTTAGGTGAATACTTCTATTGATCGTTATATCTGTTTGTATTTGGTTTACATCTATAGTTATATCTCTCACTCAAATTCAAATTAGAAAGCCGGGAAGAAATCTTCTTATATGTCTTACCGTTCATTAAACGTATTTTTTTGTTGTTGTGTAGAAATCAACATATTTGTTTGCAATGGGTTTTCCATTGTTAGTCATTTATTTCTCGCTCGAGCTCATTTAGGAAGGGCACGAAGAAATCTCTCACTCCATGTTAAGAGAGCGAAGATGACCTCAGAATCAACAGAATCAAATGCTATGTTCATTTTTAAATTTTTTAGAATAATTGAATTTAACCGATAATAAGTAAATTTTAGGTTTATTTCTTGAAGTTGCTCAAGTTCGAACTTGTGGATAACTCTACCTCTGCAATGAATAACATGGTTACTTAGCTAAAATTTTTAATTTTAGAATCATATTAAATTAGTTATTGTTAGAATGATGACTAGTAATTGTTGGATGTTTAAATGTTTATTCTATAATGGTATATGTTGTTAGAAAAAATGATGAATTATTAATTTTGTTGCAATGATGAATATCTGTAAATAATTTAACTAGTACGTGTTTACATGATGAATACTTTGTTATTGCATGTTGAAATATTAGTTTTATGGTAGCCAGTTACCCTTAATGCGATAATTTGTTGTTGAAATGTTGTTGAATTATAAGTTTATACTCGAATGATGATAATGTTTTTAAGTATTTTATTTTTTGTTAAGATGATAAATTTAGGTTTATGTTCGAATGATGAAATGTTGTTAATAACATAGTTAAGTATAATCTGTTTTAAGATGATAAATCTAAATTATATTGTTTCTTTTAGATGTATTCACACTACAACCAATATTGTGAACTATATATAAAAAAATTACATGAAGTCAACTTATTTTATAACCTGATATCTAAATTTTACTATTTATGCAAAGAAGCCATCAAAAGTATTGAAACTTACGTAAGACTCAATGCATATCAAAGTGGAAGAATTCAATGTACAACTAACATTACAAAGTTAGTATCACTAATAATATGAATGTGTTTATTTTGGAGAGATCCGGAAGAGAACGGTGTTGGAATTTGTTTATCAAAGGTGTGATGGCATTCTCTTTACGGCGAGAACCGACCATCTTTGGTGTGATTTTCGGCTAAAAACTCATGTTGTTGCTTCTTATTCATTCAGCACTTATATAGGGATATGAGAACCTAGAATTGAGATTGGGTTACAAGAGATTAACTACCGAATCTCCTATGATTTGGTAAATCCAAAAAAATCAACTATACGATCTTGAGATTGTATCCTAATAAATCCAAACAAATCAAAACAAACAGCAGCTACACGGACTTTTTGGCACGTGAATGGATGCGTGGGAGCGAGTTTTGGCACGTTTTGGAGCAACCGAGTAGAGAGTAAGGAAGAGTTACGGCTAGGACCATAACTCTCCAGTTTAGGCCGTAACTTCAAGGCAGAGAAGTAGAGGTCTACTTCAAAGTTACGAGCCAAGAGTCAAGGTTATGGTCTTGACATAACTTCCCCTAAAAGACCGTAATGCTTGGTTTATGGAGTGCAGACACGTCATCGTTTTTGGGGAAGTTACGGGTTGGGGAAGCAAGTTACGACCGTAACTTGGGCAATAACTCGCGAATCCTCAGCATACAAAAGGCTGACTCGGGCAAATTAGAGGGGATCCAGTTTTGCAAGTTTTGAAATAGCTAGAGAGAACCGTAGAGAGAGAAAATGATGAAGAACAGCCTTGGGAAAGGATTGAAGCGATCTAAGGACATTGGAGCTCGATCTTTCACCCTCGGAGAGCTGATTTCTAGCCTGGAGCATATTCTCATCCCTCACATGATGATTTATCTTCCAAGCTTTGAGATTTCTCTTCTCTCAATGGAGTAAACTTCCCTTTTCATTTGGGTATGAAGAACCCTTGTCATGTATGTTAGGAATGGTTGTATGAACCCAGTTTTGTGACTGATTGACTTGATATATTCAATTGAGTCATTATTCAGAATTGCATGAGTCCTGATCAAATTTTTGTGATTCCTGCTTTAACCTAGAATGATAGTCTCTGCATAGGTTAATAGAGAATCTTAATTGGAAGTAGTGGATCGATTACATTAGTCGAGGAATCGATTCACTGCTCTGTACTAGAATCAAAACCAGTAGTGAAAGTTAGGTGTGTTACTGCCTCGATTAGCTTACACCGGTGGAGACTAATAGCCCGCCGAATATTCAAACTGAGAGGGTTTGGAATTCTATAGTCGAGATTTCAGCCTTGTCAAGAATTTTACGCAGTATATCTGTCAATTGAAACGAATTGGGAAATTATAATATGAACTAACTGCAGACTAGGGGGATCATATATGGATGACCTTTTAAATACTTGAAACCAGAACATTTTTTGAATTCTGTCTACTTTGCTTTTAATTTCTTCACTCAAGCTAAATAATAGATTTGAGTGGAGTAGTCAGTAGACCTAGGATCCGAGTTGAAAAATAGAACCTGAACAACTATACTGCATTGCTAGACTGTGATTGCACTTGATCGTAGTTTGATTGTGTTAGTTTTAGCGAGTCAGGAATTACCCCATGAAGTGAGGAAGAAGAACAACGAAAGGGGGAAGGAAAACCATCATAGGTTATTGTATAGATTACACATAAGGTCTAATGGAGGAGGAATTCGAATGTATGACAAAATAAAGGAGCTCAGCAACTAACTGAATGGGAGGAGGTAGACATTCCCACCCACCATATACAATACAATTAATGGGTGATTAGAGATGATGGTAATGATTACCATGACGATGATACATTTGTTAATGGGGATGATGAGTAAGCTGAAGGGTTGATGAGGGAGAGAATGAGCTTTACCTAGCTAGCTAGAGCTAGGCTAGCTTCACTCCCACAACCAAAATAATAATAATAATAATTCATTCCATTCCTCTCTTTTGTTCTTTTGTAAGATAGGGAGTGTCCCCCTCACCATTTATTGCCCTCTTCTCTATCTCTTGTCCTTGCTTGCTACTTGCCTCTTCTTCCTCTTCTTCTTCTTCTTCACCCTCCACTCCACTGCTGGTTTCAAGCCAATCCCCCCCTTATCTCTTTTTCTCTCTCATTGCATTCCCAGCTTCATCTCCACCTCTCTCAAGCCCTAATACTCGATCCCTAGGTTGCTTCCTCTTTATCAACCACAAAAATTAGGGTTTTCTTATCCGTGATCTACTGTGTTTGAGTAGCTGATCTGAATTTAAAGGGTTGGCAACTTGGCTGGGGCAATTAGGTTTGCACAAAGCAACACAGCGCTTGGGCTTTATTCCAGAGAGGTACAGTAGTAAATTAAGTATGTTTTTGGTTGCTACCCAAATCCCTATTTTCTGCTGTAATTTTTTTGTTTCAAAAGAAACCCCATCCCTATAGCTAGACCTAATTCTATCTAATACACATACGTACATGTAACAAGATAAAAATCCCCTTACTTTGTTTTCTACCATGTACATATATATATGCTAGTAATGATGAACTCTACATACACATGCCTATACTATGTATTTAGCTTCTTTTCCTTTCCTGGGATGTGGAAGCACGTACACTTGCGGCTTTGAAAAGGCTGAGAGTGGTTAGATCTTCTTTTTCTTTCTTTCTTTCTTTCTTCTTTTCCGTTGGTGGGTTATTTGTTGATTTAGGGTTTGGCTCTATATATCTGTCTGTCCATGTTTCATTAGCTAGTGAGACTGTTAACAAAAACAGCAGGGATAAAGAGATCTAGAGGAAAGGAAAGAAAGACATTAAAACTGTTGAGATCTGTCTCTCTGGTGCTAGCTTATGAACCTTCACCTCATCACAAAGGGTTTTTTTTTTTCACCACGTCCCTGTTCTTCTCTGTTCTCTACTTTCCAATATTCTTCTTGCTTTGGTTCTGTTCAAAGGAGGTGAGGGAAGTTGTGAGAGAGAGAGAGAGAGAGAGAGAGAGATGTGTGTGTGATTTGAGGTGACAGAAAGACAAACTCTGTGAGAAGAGGTAAGGCAGACAGTAGAGAGTGCGTGTAAGTAAGGAGAGGAGAGGGCAGCGGCAGACTGTTGGTTGCTTGCTGCAGCAGAATTCAATGAAAGGACGGATTGGGCCGGCAACCAACCTTGAAAACAAACCCCCAAAATAATAATAATTAAGTGGCTGTAAGAAAGAAAGAAAGAAAGAAGCAGTAGCAGTACTAGAGATGATAAGTGGAACCCTGAGGGAGGGCTGAATCAATAGTTGGAACTACAGTTCCAAACAACAAGGAAAAGTCACCAGAGAAAAGAGAGAGAAAACCAAACCCTGTGTCAGAGCTCAGAACAGAAGCCTTCAATAATTTGAACGTTTGCAGTAAAACAACTATACATGGAAATTCATTATATCCATTGGGTTTCTATCTGTGTGTGTGTGTGTGTGAGAGAGAGAGAGAGAGAGAGAGAGAGAGAGAGAGGGGAGGGAGAGTAGAGATGAGATGAGATTCGAGGGGGTCTGATCATCGCAGAATTTGTCAAATCATACATCCATCATCTACATCTTTATATAAAGTTTCTTCATTCCTCCATGATTGTAGTTTCTTTCTTTCCCATTGGTAGTGAAATTTTTTTGTTTTAAATCTGGTCACAAAATTGAGATTTCAAGAACAAAGGAGATGGTTAATTCCAAGATCAAACTAGCTAGGGTTTGTCTTCAATTTCCATGAATAAATTTTAAGTGTGTTTAATGAACTGAGTGAGTGAGTAAGTGAGTTCGACATATAATTGAAATAATTTTGACTTGATTGTTGTCCGATAAAAGTTATTCGATTAGGCGATTCAACCACACACCTCTATTTATAAGGTGGTTATTAAGAGGAACTTTGGCTATTCTCTTCACATGGGTATAAGGGTAAGTATCATTTTTTTAACCAGCCGCCTGATCTATTAATTTATATATCTAAGATAATGTTGAGAAGATAATTGGACTAATGGTGTGTTTGCATACTTACCTGAATCATCGTGGTTCAATTGTAGATGATCGAAAATACATGTCTTTATTCTTAGCTTGTAAGAGGATTGAAGAATTGCGTAAGAAAGGTTTGTCTTAAGATGGTAGATTATGGAAATCATGGTTTTGTTCACCGGCTAGATTTACTTTTATAATTATATTTTCAGGTTAAAATTTCAATTTGAGGTGTATTTCTTAAAATGTTATTCAAAAAGTAAAAGAGATATAAAAAAAATGACAGTAAGAACTTGTCAGCTCTATAACACACTGTTAAAAATAGATGTACTGGAAGCAAACATAACCAAAGATGTAATAACATAACAAGGAGTAAATACAATTCATTAGCCAAATTTCAAGATATTAGTCCAAATTTTTAAAATAAAAAATATTAGACAAATCCTTTGTAACGTAACACATCAAAGTATTAGTCATATTTTTCCTGTTATCGTTAGTAATTTTGTAACTCATTTTCTCCGTTAAAATGTTTCTCTTTCGAGTCATTATCATATTGTCGAGTCAATAATACTAACAAAACCGCGATAACTAAAGAAACTTTAAAAGGTCGCACTTAACTTTGCACACGTTGTATACTTTTTGTAGTTGATATTATCCTTGCAATGGCGGCTTCATCATCATCGTCAACAACAACAACAAGCAACAGCAGCAGCAGCAGCTCGTACAACTCCCCGTGCGCGGCGTGCAAGTTCCTCCGGCGCAAGTGCATGCCGGGGTGCATCTTCGCGCCTTACTTCCCGCCGGAGGAGCCGCACAAGTTCGCCAACGTCCACAAGATCTTCGGCGCCAGCAACGTCACCAAGCTCCTCAACGAGCTCCTCCCCCACCAGCGCGAGGACGCCGTCAACTCCCTCGCCTACGAGGCCGAGGCGCGTGTCCGGGACCCCGTCTACGGGTGCGTGGGTGCCATCACGTTCCTCCAGCGCCAGGTCCACCGCCTCCAGAAGGACCTCGACGCCGCCAACGCCGACCTCATCCGCTTCGCCGCCACCAATATCCCAGCTGCTGTCACCCAGCTAGGAAGGCCGTTCGATCCCTTGGTCATGAATAATAGGAGGAACGTCGGAGGAGGAGGAGGAGGGTATTATGGTAATAACAACATGGGGCTGCCGCCGTTCCCTTGCGGTGGTGGAGGGCTGCCGTGGAGCGATGAGGAGGAGGATCAGATGAATGGAAGACGAGGAGGAGGTGGTGGTGGAAATATGTGAATGCGAATAATATATATTGGCTGCTCTGCTCTGCTCTGCTCTTCCGTTCATGTATTCATGATGATGATGAAATATAATATGGGTAAGTAAGTAGGGTTTTCGCGTGCCAAGATAGAAAAGTCTACGTCTAATTTATATATTCATAAAGTGATCTTCTAGCTGGATAGCCTCACATGATGGACTATACCCTTAGAAATTTGCTGGAGATCAATAAATAATATATATATATATATACAGACCCTTTGCAATTATAATAAATTCAGTGCTGCTATCTGGCAGTAGGGAGGGAGGGGGTGACCTAAATAATAAGGGGTTGTTCTATTCTATGCTTGCTATGTCTATGTGTGTGTTAGGGTATGTTATAAGATCTTGAATATTTTGGTCTGAATAATTCGAGTTATTGGGACCAATTGGTTGATGACAATATTCACAAGAGCATGATGTTATGGGAGTGGGACTAGCTATTGGATGGGTGGCATTGGGATTATGTTGGAGCTGTGCTAAATTCTCTCTTCTTTTGTTGCTCTAAGCTTTTTTTCTTTTGGTTTGATTAATAAAGGTGGTGATTCTCTATTTCGGCGGAGTCTACTGCTAGCTAACAGCTAGTCTGGTCTGTACAGTTTACACTTGAATTTACATATATATTCTTGCCCTTCTGTATGTATGGTTTTTTTTTACTTTGCTTTTACCTTTGTATGCAAACGTTAATGTTGTTGATGATTAGGTGGATCATCATCCCATGTATTACATATGTATTGGGACGATATTTATAGGGAGAGCCTCATACCGTGTTGGAGGTAAATATTGTCCTATGTATTGATAGGGTAAAAAACACTCTATCCATATAAAATTACTACAAAATTAAACCATACCACATTCATTTCATGTATCATCTAAAGATTCAGATTAATTTTTAAAAAAAATTAAGAGGGGCGGATTGGTATTTTTGTACTCGCTGCCTCATTTCTTTACGGACAGTCTGACACGGATCAAGGGAAGAGAGAAGATATATTTTCCTGATCCTTTATTTTTCTTAATCGAATTCTATAAAATTCGTTTTCACTTGGAATTAAAAAAAATTATAGAAAAAACGCATTACTTACAATCTATACAATGATATACATTTTGTTATGTTTTGTCAAACATAAGATCTCGTATTAACATCATGTCAGTGTGATCAAATTATTGCAATCATATGATGTCATCAAATTATTTTTACAAACACAAAACAACATACCAATATCATATATCACTATTATACCAACATCAAATCAATATTATACCATTATGATGTCAACATTATACTATTATCATATCAACATCATACCAATGTTAGTGGTAATATTGTGATATGATAATGGTAAGACCTTGTAAAAAATTGAGCCGCAAAAAATATCAAAATGGATATTATCTTGTAGACCAAAAAAACTTATTTTTTATACAATTTTTTTAAAATCCGATGTAAAACAAATGTACCAAATATTTGTATGCTAACTACAAAATTATGGGTAATGACTGATATCTCAGTGGTAGTAACTGGAGTATACTATACTCTATTAGTACATAGTGTGATCCAAAACTATGAGGTTTTGTATACTAACTATTCTAACTGTATAATTCTCTCAAATACATATTTGCCAAGAAGGGCTCTTGTATAATTTGGAAGAAAAAGAGAGATCTACCAAATCTTCATCTCCTTTTTTCCCCTGATATATACAATATTAATTATTCATTTTCCACTTTATTGAGGCATTGTACTAATTTATGTATTAAACTAGTGTCCATACCGATGGACATATATAATATTATAATTGTTGACTATAAAGTTTATCTGTTTTACTAATATTTTGAAATTACGACTTCAATTATTAGTATGTAGCGTTACTAGTTGTTTGTGCCATCTAGCTCAGGACACGAACAATGTTATTGTAGGTGTGGGGTTGACTCATGATCCGTTCGTCTGATCTCGTCGGGAGGGAAGAAACCTGTGAAAAGTGTCGGGGTTGCCCCCCGGATTAAACTCCGACGATCAAGTTAGTGTATGTTTGTGGAGAGAGTTGAGAGAATAGATAGAGAGATAAAGTGTACAGAGATAGTAGAAAGTGGAAAGTGAGGAGAGAGAGAAAAAGTCCTCTCTCATTGGTGGGTTTCATACCTTTATATACCCGTAGCGGGTTTAGAGCGTCATACGTTGTCGATTGGACGCGGTATTACTTATTCTCTGCGGGAAGTCTCTTAGCAACACCCCCAACAATTGCCCCCCAAGCTGGTGGTGAGTTTTAACTCATCACTAGCTTATATTTTATTTTTTTAAATCTTCGTCGGTAATTTTGGGTGGGGCCCTATGTACCCCAGTTGCCCCCCAGCTGGTGGCGCGTTTGACTGACGCGGTGCCAGCTTCTTGCGTTTTGCCCCCCATCGGCGCCATTAACGCTCATGGAAGTAAAATATTTCAAATTTAATATTGATAGAGTACTTAGCTTTATATTGGTACCGTGGCGGCAGAAGTAGTTGAAAATCAGACGCTGCGCCATCGAATCACTAAGTGCGTATGCAGCCCACTGGTGATGTTGCTTGTCTAGCGGAGGAAGGACGCGAGTTCAATTCCTGTCAGCGGCAATAATATTTTTGACTCAGAGTGGAGCAAGGATGGACGGGGCGGACTGGTGACGCGGGCCGGACCCGAATTGGGCTTGCGCGCGTCGAGTGCTCGCGCGAGTTGGGCCGCTTGCGCGCGTCGCGGGCTGGGGGAAGATGGGGCGCGAGTTGGGCTTGCGCGCGTTGAGTGCTCGTGCGAGTTGGGCTTGCGGATGATGAAATAGAGCGCTCCGCCTAGTTCCTCACCAATTAATGTTGTGGCATACTGGTTATGTCGCTTGTCTGACTGAGAACTGACGTGGGTTCAATTCCCTGCGGGAGCATCAATTCAAATTTTTTTTATTTTTTTATTTTCGGAGATAAAGGCCGAGCGGAACGCGGCGCACTGTTGGGCCGCGACCTCGAGTGGGCTTGGTTGCCAGACGGCTCTTTCTCTTTTTTTTTTTTTTGGCTTCTTTCGAACTGAGTGGGCGCGAATAGTGCGGGACTATTGCTATTTTCTGTTCCGTGGAACTGAGTGGGCGCGAATAGTGCATGACTATTGCTATTTTTTGTTCTTTTGAACTGAGTGGGCGCGAATAGTGCGGGACTATTGCTATTTTTTGTTCCGTAGAACTGAGTGGGCGCGAATAGTTCGTGACTATTGCGACTTTTTGTTCTTTCGAACTGAGTGGGCGCGAATAGTGCGGGACTATTGCTATTTTTTGTTCCGTAGAACTGAGTGGGCGCGAATAGTGCATGACTATTGCTATTTTTTGTTCTTTCGAACTGAGTGTGCGCGAATAGTTCATGACTATTGCGACTTTTTGTTTGTTCCGTGGAACTGAGTGGGCGCGAATAGTGCGGGACTATTGCTATTTTTTGTTCCGTGGAACTGAGTGTGCGCGAATAGTTCATGACTATTGCGACTTTTTGTTTGTTCCGTGGAACTGAGTGGGCGCGAATAGTGCGGGACTATTGCTATTTTTTGTTCCGTGGAACTGAGTGTGCGCGAATAGTTCATGACTATTGCGACTTTTTGTTTGTTCCGTGGAACTGGGTGGGCGTGAGTGGTTAAACATCAGATGTCGCGTCCTTGAAACACACGGCTCGCTTGTAACCTGCTGGTAAGTTGACTGTCTTGCGGAAGAATGGCGCGGGTTCGTGCCTTCGCGGCGACAATAATATTTTTGATGTGGCACCTGTTGGATGCGTGACGCGAGCCCGCATGAAGGATTGGGCCTGGTGCGACGCGGGCTGGTGGAGTGCGCGGCACAGGCCGCGCGGGCTGTGGGTAGCGCCTGGTGACGCGGGCTGGTGCAGGGCGTGGCGCGGGCCGCGACTTGGTTGGGCCGCGCGGGCAACAAGCTGTATTTGTTCGAGCGCGGAGTTGGATCACCAGGCGCGCATGTAGCCTAGTGGTGATGTTGCTTATCTGCGTGAGGAGTCACGCGGGTTCAAATCCTGGCGGCCGCGATAATATTTTTGACACGCAGTGGGGCGTGATGCGGGCTGCACATTTGGAGAGGCTTGGCCGGTTGTCGGGAGTGGGCTCGTGGCCTCTACGTGGACGAGGGCCCATGTTTCCCGTTACTGTTGAGGCGTGTTAGAGAATAGATAGGGCGCGCTGCGCGCAAGTAGTAACAACGCGCTTTAGTCTGCTGGTTAACACACGTGTCTGGTGGAGGAGTGGCGCGGGTTCGAAGATTGGCGTCGACAACAATTTTTTGAAGCGAAGCGGAGCTGGTCTTGGCGGGCCGGGGAGCGCGAGCGTGCTAGTGGTAGCTGACCCGCGAGTTCATAGCGCGCGGGCTATAGACGCGAGTTGGACAGTGCGCTCGGGCGCGGGCCAAGTTGGCATTGGGCTTGTGGCGGGCTCAGTGTCACCCGGGCTGGCCGTGAAGCGTACCGCGAGTTGGAGTTTGAGAGGTCCGCGCTGGATGGCGGTGATAGTTAAATAAGAATGTTGCGCCTAATGGTCACAGCGTTGTTGCGTAATCTACTGGTGAGCGTGCATAATGTTGAAAATTGGTGCGGGTTCGATTCCCCGCGGAGCAGTAACTTTTTTTATTACCAGCATCCCCCTTTCTATTTCAATGTGCCTCTAGCCTGTCTTCTTGGGAACTTCGCTTGTCTCTTCCCTCTGACAGGAGAGAAGGTGGATTTGCCCCCTTTTTTTTTTCACTGTTGAGGTGACTGAAGAGAAAATACTAATGTTGACTGGAGATGGCTCTTCTTTCTTTCACTGCCCCCTTTTTTTCTTCTTTTCTTTTTCTTTTCCTGCTGCTGGGCTCTTTCTTTGTTTCCTTCAAGTGAGGATTGTGTGACGTGTCTTGCGTCCTTCAAAGATCAGCGCCGAAGGTCCAGCGTCGTGTCACCATCGCCGAAGTTGCTTCTTCTCTTCTCGGTGGTGGTTGCCGCCGCCTGGGTTGGTGAAGGGAGATGTGACTTTCTTCTGCAAGTCGCTGCGTTCTCTTCGCTTCCTTCCGACGAGGCCTTTTGTGAACTTCGGATTACAGAGATCCCTCCCTCCTTCGGAAATTGAAGAAACGAATGTCAAGTCAGGCCCCACGGTGGGCGCCAATTGTTTGTGCCATCTAGCTCAGGACACGAACAATGATATTGTAGGTGTGGGGTTGACTCATGATCCGTTCGTCTGATCTCGTCGGGAGGGAAGAAACCTGTGAAAAGTGTCGGGGTTGCCCCCCGGATTAAACTCCGACGATCAAGTTAGTGTATGTTTGTGGAGAGAGTTGAGAGAATAGATAGAGAGATAGTAGAAAGTGGAAAGTGAGGAGAGAGAGAAAAAGTCATCTCTCATTGGTGGGTTTCATACCTTTATATACCCGTAGCGGGTTTAGAGCATCATACGTTGTCGATTGGACGCGGTATTACTTATTCTCTGCAGGGAGTCTCTTAGCAACACCCCCAACACTAGTGTTGAATCGTTATTTTTTGTGTGTGTAATCCAAAGCGCAATGGGACGCTCTAGCCCTTAATCCTTAATCAATCGAGGAGTATGTAGCGGTACTAGTGTTTGAATCGTTATAATGGTTAGCCTCACATTTTATATATAGAAAATTATATCTACCTAATATATGTACATAGATATAGTTATACATGATTATATACTACGAGCATTTCTACTATGCTATATAGTATTGGTGCTTTAATGTACAACTTAAAGTTGTACCATAACATGAAATGTATAAGTTTAGATTGTACCATAAAAGAATTTGTATCATTATGTTATGGTACAACTTTACAACTTGAAGTTGTACCATCAAATAAAGGTACAAGTTCAAGTTGTACCATAAAAAAAAATGTACAAACAGTATAGGTACAATCTGAAATTGTACCATAACATAAATGTACAATTTTAAGTTGTACCATAAAGGCAAAAATCTATAGCACCAATACTATATAGCATTGTAAAATTCCTCATATACTACCACATAAAAACATATTAGTTATTGTTCACGACGTTGTACTATACTGGAATCAAACAATTATATTGATGATCCGTTGGGCGATCACTGCTCTATACTCTTTTCTCCAACGCAAAAATTGAAAAGAGTCGCCTGGTCAAAATGGGAATTTATTATGCAAAGGAATATAGTGAAGAGGAAATTTAACAGTAGCACAAACAATGCAAATAAATAGTATTATTTTGATGATGAAGATATTCGAGAGAAAGAGAGAGCGGCGCATTCCTTTTGGCGCTTCAACATGCAACAACATATTGGAAAGCTGCTGGCAGCAGCTTTTTTTCTCTTCTTTCCAAGCTTGAAATCTTTTAATTGGTACCCAAAAGAGAAAATAAGAGGCGCAATCACGGTGTGCCTTTCCTCATACTGATACATGCATGTATCACCAACTGACCATTGCTCTACCTGTAGCGCCAGTACTGCAATCTTGAGTTGGTTCAAATTTTATCCAATTTTTAGTTTGTGTGAGCCTACCGAAGAAGGAATGAGATAAGAGCAGAAAATAGATGGAGGAAAATATCTTGCAATCTTCAGCTCCTCTTGTTGGATTTCAGACAACGGTGGCAAGCCGAACAAGTAGATCATCAGAAATGTGCAACATTATTGTTACGGGCAGCTCTCTCTATTTGAGAGCACTTCAAAGTTGATTGGGCGATAACTGTAAAAAAAATCACGGGGGAGTCTGCCATTTGTCTAAAAGAAACTAACAACACTACTTATCATGACAGACCAAAACGAGAGAGTGTAACGTAAAGTTTTGTGATCGAGATGGAACGTTTCATCCACTACGAACACTAGAACCTTCAGTTCCACAGTTCTTCTTCAATAGTGCAAGCTTCTGCGTCCTTGCTCTACACAATTCATTCTTGTGCATTCAAGTCTAACATTTCCTTGAATTTTGTCAACTCAATCAGCAGCCTAATCACTAAAACGACGATCAAGCTGTCGTTTTGAGGCTTGTCCAGAAATTGCCAGAATCTTTAAATAATATGCTTTTCATGGTGGCCAAGTTAGAAGAGGTTGATTGAGACTCGAAGAAGCGTTAGTTGACCGTCCTCTATCAGAAAGAGTTGGGTAGCCAAATGATAGGATGCATTAGAGAGTCATTATTCTGCTGACAGAGTGACTTAATTACCTGACTTTATTAAAGCGACACCGGTTACTATAGGCAAATCGACACTGAAATTGACGGTCGTGTCCCTGAAATCTCTGATTTGGGTGCAAATTTGGGGAGCTCATTGGGATTCTCATTACGACTGATGTATCCCATGAATCTCGTTCTCATGGTCGGCTAATTTCCTTAGTTGCATAGGTGGGTGAGCTTAAAGGTTCTAGACTTTGTAACCTTCGATTTTGGCATATACAAGATGTTTGATTCTTTTATCTTTTTCTTGTTTCTTTTGTGTTATCTATTGTCGATTGATTGCAAGATTCACGAAGCATATATCCATTCGAGATATATGCGTCAAAATCCTAGTCACATAGGGTGAAGACTGTACACGACCATCTTACACGATTGATCTTCAATCTATTTTACTGCGCGACACCTCAAAGAAGAAATTCGTAGGGGCCTTGTTGCTTATCATATCTGGTAAAAGTCATAACACAATGTAGGAATAGATACTACAAGGATCAAGCAATGGGTATGTTGTCATTATTAACGTTACGAGTATAAAGAACTCTAGGGGTAGCTTGCCTGTGCAATGCACCATCCTCCTGCTTCCTCCACTAGCCATTAGCTATAGTTTTTGTTTTATGAATTGTCTTTCCTTTTAGTTTTGTAAATCCAAGGGGAACTTCAACCCGGAGGCAACTCAATCTCCAGAGTCGCGTTTTAATCACAAAAGAACTCGTCCCTCACCATATGAGTAAGTTGTTGTGAGAGATCCTAGGGTAATATGATTTTGGTCTTCGGACTAGGTAAATTTGACTGCTACAACATCTAGATCAAATTTTGGCGCCGTTGTGAGGGACTTCTTCCTTCCACTTTTCCAATCTCGGTAGATTGAGGAATAAAGAGCTAGCAACCCATTGACATGATTCTCGACTTCGAGGCCAAGGAAGACAACGCAATTGCTGATCAAGGTGGATGAGTATTTCAAGGAGCACTAGTGGCCAATTCCAGTGATGATTGCCACGAATCCCGCAAAGAGATGATCGATCCTCTCTCGACATCTCTTTCAGTCACCTCTCTTGATTTTTTTTAATGTAATTTGACTTATATGCTGACATTTTGGGAGAGAAGTGAACCTTTATGTTTTTTTGTTTCAAACCAGACCGAACAATTTTCAATTCAATCCGGTTACGGATGACTATTTTTAATTCAATCAAGTCTCCCGATTACGAATTTGGTTAAAACTGTATCTAGTTAACTGAATCGATTCAGTTCAATTTGACCAGACCGAACGATTTCCTAGCCCTAATTAAAAGCTGGATCACCCCTCTACGAAGAAGATCAAAGCTTTCCGGACAAACATAGTTACATCAATAATGTGACACTTGTCGGTTTAGTAAACGCATAAAACATTCATCATCCTAATTATATTGCTCCCCCAAGTCTCCTATCTAATATCTATATCCTCAACGAAGAGAACACCTCAGTCTTAAACCTGAAGGCAAATCACATTAGGATGCATCATCGTCAACCGGCCTCTAATTCTATATTGTTTATCTACCACAGCTAAGATCGATCAATCGATTGGCAATGATTATGGCCAATGATTCACGCACAATGCACCATGGATTAGTTTAAATGCCACTCATAACCCCAAAAAGACCACAAATGGGAATTGCATTCACCTTTGTCTTGATCCACCGTATATTGTTTATATTTCTAATATTTTCTAGAAGATATGGCAGCTCTCTCCAAATCTCCACATACGAATATATTACATACGGCGAGAATCAGAATATATAGCTGAGAGAGGAACCGAGGGGCACGAGTCAGTCAGATGATAGAGTGGGAGTAAAGAAAATCGAATATAACAATGACGAGAACTAGTTGAGGAAAATATATAAACTCCATTTCTTGAATGAACACATATAGAATTCGCTTTGCAACTCATATGCGCAGAAAGTGTTCATTTGGAATCAGCAAATACATTTTGCCTTTTTTTATTAGGGCTAATATCTACGGGACACGAACTATGAAAAAATGTCACTTTTGTTCTGTTCTTTCAAATATTTCATTTCTATCACGTTGTATGGTACATTTGTGCCATTTATATCATGGTGATTTTTTAATTGTTAGAAAAAACAGTTGACCGAACGACACACAAAGCAATATTAACTTTATTTTGCGGGACATCCACGTAGACGCCATGTCATTTTTTTACAAGTAGACGGCACGTCATTGTCATTGACACATCATTATTTAATACAAAATTAAATTAAATTATAATAAGAATACCAAACTATTAGGAAAAAGTAAAAAATCATTAATGGAAAAGGGGGAAGAGGTCCCCCAATCCTCGATATGCGTGGTCTCTGATGGAATCCGGCTTGTACCCAACAAAAATAAAATCAAATGAACCCCAATTCAACCTACGTGATAATCGCCATTGGAAGTTGAAGATCATCCCCTAGAATAAGAAGATGGAAGAATTTGAGCCTTGTATTGTAATCTCTCTCTTCTATATGAACTAGATCTCTTCACTTAGGTTGATGAACCCTAGTTATAGATTTCGAATTGTTTGTTGAGGCTTGTGACAAACTTATGATTGTGCTTCTCTATTATCTATTGGATTGAGTATTATACATGCAATTGATGGATCTGATTTCATCCCTCAATTTGGGGCTTTTTGACTGAGGAGGAAGAAAATTCCACTATTGCCTAATTTTGGCAATTCGTGTCACTTCTCAATCTATATCGTTTCGGGTTGATCCCGAGAGAGTGAATTTGATTGATCTCATAACGATATAGGATTTGGAGTAAATCCCCCTAGGTTGAATTGAGCACTATCAATTCATCACTATGGGTCCACTACAAGAAAATTGATATTTTTTCACGGGAATTTTGTTACCGGATATTTCCTGTTACCAAATACATCACTACTGTCACAGGGAAATCAATCCCATTATTGATTGGGTCAAACAACTTTATTTTGTAATGGGAAACCAACCCGTAATGTTTGCTTGTGAGTTTACCGTGACAAATGAAACGTAAAATTGCGTTAGCGGTAAGTGAATGTTTTGGCTCGTGACCGAAAAAATTGAAAAATAAAGTAAGTGAGATTTTTTCTAGTCGGAATAGGTTAGCGTGGTTACTCAATTTTGAATAATCACGGTGGCTACCAAAATTACACCCTTAATTATTTCTATTTCTCTTTATTTTTAAATTGATGGTTAATATTAGATTAAGTGTAATTTTAGAAGTGAAAAAAGAACCACACCTGATCACTCTATATATTGTATCCAAACCCTACTGTAACTCATCTTTCTAACCGCTATCCCTCCTCCATCTCCGACTCTCTCCACCCCACCCCACCCACCACCCCTGCCGCCTACCACCGTCGCCCCTGCGCCCCATCCCACCCGCCTCTCTCTCCGCCTACCACAACCCTCCGTCTCTCTCGTGTACCCCCACCCCTCCCCGTCCCACCCCCACTCCCCAACTCTCCACTTTTGCCCGCCACCAACCCCTGTCCCTCCCCTCTCTCACGCAAAAGGTTGAGAAGGTGAAGGTCTTCTCTCTCTCATTCCCTCTCTCTCTTGAAGAAAGATGAGATGTTGATGGTGCGTCATAGAATCTTAGATCTGGGTATTTTTTTTATTTTGGTACATGTTCATTATTTTATTTTATGAAATGGTATAGACGTATAATTTTGTTTTTTATAATGGTATTGATTTTTTCTGCAATGGTACTGTTTTGATTTTCAGAGTAGTAGTGGTATGGTTGATTTTGGTATTGGTTTCACTCTTGTAATGGTATACATTGTTTATATTGGTAGTTTTAGTGTAATGGTATTGTTTTTCGTAATGGTATTGATTTATTTCCGCAATGGTATTGGTGTTTTGTGAAATGGTAGTGTTTTTATTTCTCGAATGGTATTGGTGTTTTGTGCAATGGTAGTGTTTTACGAAGTGGTAGTGGTTGTCTAATGGATTGATATTGATTTCTTGTTTTTTTGTTATAATGGTATTGGTGTTTTTCGAAGTGGTAGTGATTGCCTAATGGATTGATAGTGATTTCTTGGTTTTTTTCTTTTGCAGAAAGATTGAAAAAAAAAGTAGATCTGATTGGAGATTATGGTATACCGGCCGTCATCTCCCCGTCCACCCTCCTCATTTCTTTGTTTATTGAGAGAAGTAAAACCATGGTTTGATTCTTCTTCGCTATTGGTTCAATTACTCCTTTCAGTTTGTTTGATTACCTACTTTGATTTTATTTCTTCCCTGCCGAACTTGGTTTTGGTTCATCCTAATTAAACTCTGTGTTCAGGAATTTTTGGGTATTGGTGGCTGCAAACGTAGGTGAAAAAGGAACTCTTGGGTTACAGTCAGAATTAGCCATTATTATTTCAAGGTACAGACAATTTTCACAACCTTCACTTTCACGTGTAAAGTTGGGCAAAGCCTTGCGAAAGTAATTGAACTTGGAAGGAAGCACATATGGATCAAAGGCTCATTGCCTTTGATCCATATAGCAACAGTATAGTTGTGATTCCTTTCTTCATAGTTTCAAGAATAGTCAATTGAGTATTTACATTTTGTTAAAGAGAATCAAACTAAATTATAGTTGTAGTCGCACAACTCAACTCCTATTAAATGTCTCATTAACAGTTTTATACATGATTTAGTTGTTAGAACGGCATCGTATTACGTAAGAGTTGAGAATCCATAAACGAGATGTTATAAGAAATCTCAATCGAGCCGGTATATCAAGTATAAAAAAAATTTCAACAATGGGTCGAATATTATGACTAAGAGACTTTTGATAAAGTATGATGAAATTTTCAACATCTTTCATTACATAGATAAATTCTATTTATAAAAATTTCAATTCAAAATCTCTGATAAAATCCTCCACGTAATATAATTATTTAATTAATAAACCTCAGTATTCCAACCAAGTGGTCGGGTTCAAGCTAGTTGTATGAGAGTAAAGACTAGGGATTGCGATGGGGCGGGTTTGGGAGGGGTTTGCCTAAACCAACTTCATCCCCATTTCCAAATATCCAAACTCATACTCGCTCTATACCCATGCAATGGACGATTTTACAAACTCATCCTTATACCCGCAATTTTTTTATATCCATAGTAATACCCGTCCCATCAGCTACTCACCATTAATAAAAGAATGTGGTGACAAATATGGATACTATCCGCCCAAAATTATTGAACTAATACATAAGAGGGTGAAATTACTATTTGGTTGCCATCAATTACATTTTAACACTTTATTTTTTCTTTTAACTACCCTTCATTCCATTGACAAGTTACAATAGACTCCTTGTATTTTATGCATATATAACATAATATCCTTAGTGGGGCGGGTTTGGGTAGGGGTATGGGGCAGGGGAGTCCAAAATCATAGCCGCTTCATCCCAATCAACATTTTTGCTTGTTGCGGATTTTACCCATACCCGGCCCATACCCAGTAAAAACGGGAATTCCCCGTGTTGACTGGGTCGGAGGGGGTCGAATAGCCGCGACCATGGGCTTGGTTGTCATCCCTAGGAAAGTGATAACTCGATATTTGCACATGTATTTGCGCACTATTCTTACACTGTTTGAGACTCGATTCCCGTGTTTTAAACCAGTTTCACGCTAGGTTGTTCTTGTATGGCGTATTGCAGGTCTTGGATCGGCTGTGCATGCTTGGAGGCGAGTTTTGGGTCAAAATCACCAAGTGGACGAAACGAGGAGTTCGAGGACCAAAATACCTAGCCTGACCACTATTCCCCCGATTGGAGAAATGCCATCACAGTCAGGGAAGTCGTCAAGGGGAACCCCCATCGAGACCCTTAAATCACCGATCGGGGATTCGAACAGGAGGCCTGGGATTTGATCATGGAACCGTAATCAGGCGGGTGTTCGATAGTCGGGCTGTTTAGAGCCAAACCCAGGTTTTGACAATTCATTGGAGTTTTGAAGTAGAAAACAGATGTTTAGCGAGAGAAAGTGACGAACAAAGACCCTTGAGTTCCCTAGATCAAGTTTTCCCATTATTGGAGCTCAATTCAAGCTTCGAGGAGTGATGATTGATGACCCGGAGCAGATTTCTGCTGTCTACACGATTTTTACATCCGACATAGCATTCCTCTCTCTCTCTCTCTATAGAGTAATCCCTTCTGCCACTTGGGTATGAAGAATCCTAGTTTTGCTTGTTAGGATCAGTTGTATGAACCCTTTTTCAATACATTGACGATTATATATCCAATTGAGGATTTATTCAGAAATCTATGAGTCTTGATCACACTTGTATGTTTTCATCTTTGACCTATAATGATAGAATCTAAATAGGTCAATAGAGCATCCTGATTTGGAAGTGGTGAATCGATTGTGCGAGAGTCAATCGATTCATTGCTCTGTACTGGTATTCATTCCAGTAGAGGAGATATGTTTTTATTGCTTTAGCACTTTATCTCGGTGAAGGTTAGTCGCATGTCGGGTAACGTGTCTGAGAGGACTTGGTTAGGTTAAGAGATTCCAAACTAGGTCATGATCTTCCGGAGTATAAATCTAAATTGAATTTGGGTGAATTACAACTCGACTTAACTGCAGACTAGGGGGAATCATTACCTGAGTGGTTCCTTCTTGAACTTGGAAACCAGAACATCTAGCTTTTTTTATTTATTTTGCCTTTGAACACTTCACTCATTCTTCACACGATCAATTGGCAAGCTGACCCACTCAACGTGTTGCTGGTGAAACTGGAGCAGCAAAGCTGGGATCCGAAATTGTCTGCCCTCAAAGACAACCCAATTTCTTGAACGCCAGAAGACCGCAACAACCGCCATGAAAAGTTGAGGTTGATGTATCAATAACATCAACTTTTAAAGAAATAGCAGAAACGTGTGATGTGGCAAACCTTGGCCAAGATATTCGAGTCCAGAATGAACCCATAAAGCCCTTGCCACTGGGAAATCAAGAAACAAATGCTCCATTGTTTCCGATTCTGCCCAACAAACCGGGCATTTGGGACTCACCTGGACTTTCTTCTCAATAAGTGCTTCCGTCGTAGGAAGGATCCGTTGGAAAAGTTGCCATAAGGACACCTTTAATTTGGGTGGAATATGGGCTTCCCACAGGCAAATCCAACTCGGCCTATCCATCCAACTTGCCAAGGAGCACCACTGGCCTTCTTGCTTATCTAAGAAGACCGTAAGGTGATAGACCGATTTGACAGTGAACATCCCATCACACGTGTTATGCCAGAGCAACCTATCCTCCACATCCTGCAAGGAAGAGGGATTGCTTTGACAGCATGACAAGTAGTTGGGTCAAACCACTGACTGAGTTTAAGATTACACCACCGACCTCCCCCTTGGAAAATTACCTCCGCCACCTTCGGGTCGCCACCCTCAGGTGACACTTGAGGATTATACACAGCCTAGGCCCTTGGCTAATAATTCCCGACCGAAAAGGATACTCTGTCATCCCCACGACGGTCGAGACCACGCAGTGGTCTAAAGGAAAGTCCCCGTGGAGAAATATTTCCCTTTTTAAACCTAGGCCAGGAGCGACTGTGGCTCATTGAGGACGCGCCATCCAATTTTTGTCAAAAGCGCCTGATTAAATTGTTCAAACCGACGAAATTTCATTCTTCTCATCACGCTTATTCTGACACACATTCCTCCAGGACAACCATGGTAACCGGGGATTACCCCCGTCGACACCCCACCAGAATCAGGCCACATATCTGTCTTAGATTCGACAAAGCGAAAAGTGAAAGTTTGAAACAGGACATGACATTTAATGACAAAGCCAAAGTGATTGATTTAATCAATATCTCCTTTGTTGCCCAAAAGAGTATTGTTCTTTGCTTCCACTCCTGAAGCCGATTCAGCAGCTTAGCCTCCAAAAATCGGAACGCAGTGAAGTGTAAAAAGAACAAACAGTGAATTCAGGAATTTAATAAGTACTTATGTGTTGGGTCCTTCATTTTCTAGTTTGTATTGATCAACTCTTGTCGGGCCCGATCCAAATCCAATCTCGGCCCATCCTTATTCCAATCCAAAATTTTATTTTTAATACACTTGGAACATCAGTCCTACCAACCATCTCTGGATTTTCCTTACATCAGTCCTACACTCCATTTCTTGTCCACTCTCCCATCCCGCCAAAGCTTACCCTTGCGGTCTTGCCCCAACCTGAACCCGCCAAAAAATTCCATCGCAAGAACACAGCTCTGCTGCATCTGCTAAAATGATACCTTCCCACCAAAAATTCATTACACACAAACGCTCAAAACGGATCCCAATTCTTTTTATTCTTCATTCCCTCCTCCTGCGGGGGAGAAAAAAAAAACAAACTTGAACTATGGCTTCCCCAAATCACCTTCTCTTCTTACTTACCATCATCTTTCTCGCTCTCTGCAAAATCTCCGAAGCTCAACCCTTCAATGGCTCCTTTACTTGCTCCACCGCTTCTCCGATTCGCCGCTGCGATTCCTATCTATACCATCCTTCTGCTCCTCCTTCGAGAGGATTCAATTCCACGGACTTGATAAACCAGGTTGCTTCCATCTACTCTGTGAGCAACGACGACGTGGAACCCATCACCCACGGCGGCGGCGGGAAACAACAAGGGTATCTCGTCTCTGTCCCCTGCTTCTGTAGAGAGAACCAGAGCTACCCACATGGCGGATACTACTCCTATGACACGGTTTACACCCTACAGCCAGGTGATACACTCGGAAATTCCTCAAACACGGTTTCTGCAAATGGAGAACCGATTAATGCCGGGGATATGATCGGAATCGAGCTCCTTTGCGGCTGCTCCGGGGATGAATCCATCGACATTGTGACCTATTTGGTTCAGGAAAACGACACGTTGGGGAAAATTGCTGAGCTTTTGTCTGCAAGCGTAGAGGAGATTGTGAATTTGAACGAAAGGTTGAGTCAGCAAGCGTCGAGTTTGATAGAGGAGGGAAAGCTGCTTTTTGTTCCCAGAAAGAAGCAGAGAAGAAGAATCAAGCCAGGTCGAAAAAAGCGCGTTGGGTTGAGCTTGGGAGTGTTGTCTGGAATCAGCTTACTGTTGGTGAGCTCATTGGGTTTCACCATTCTGAAAAGAAGAAGATTTGGTGGAGAGAAGCAAGAAGGAGCTCCGGACAAGGATGTGGAAGCATGCAGAAGCACTTCAACATTGTCGTTGCTGTCTTACTTCCAAAAGCATGATTTTGAAGGTTCGCCATAAACTTAAGAGGTTAAGAATATATGAATTGAAAATTACCTGTTTCAGTATTTAACATTGTGCTTTTGGGGTTGCAGAAGCGACATTAGAATCTGAGAAGCCTAGAGTATACACCTTGAAGGAGATCGATAAGGCAACAAATGGGTTTGAAGAGAGCAGGATCATTGGGGAAGGTGGCTATGGAAGGGTGTATTATGGTCTTTTAAGAGGAAAGGTATGCATGCAAATAGTAATGACCACAAACATGTTATGTGGTCAAGACTTCAAGTTAAGAAATATGGTCTCTGTGACTATATCAGCTGTTGAGTTGAATTGAATTGGGTTTAACAGGAAGTTGCAATCAAGCGGATGAAATCTAACAGATTAAGCGAGTTCTTCGCAGAGCTGAAGGCGTTATGCAAGGTCAATCACATCAATGTGGTGAGGGCTCATCTGTGGTCGCATGGTGTTGTTTTGTTTGGCAGCAATGGAGTTGATGGCCTTAATTACCCTGTTGTGATCATTGACTAGGTGGAGCTACTGGGATATGCAAGTGAAGAGGAATTTATGTACTTAGTGTATGAGTATCTCCCCAATGGGTCACTCAACAACCATCTCCACGATCCTCTAAGGAAGGGTCACGCAACTCTTTCATGGACTGCTAGAGTACAGATAGCAGTTGATGCAGCGAGAGGGATTGAGTACATTCACGATCACACCAAGGCTCGGTATGTACACCGTGACATCAAGACAGCCAACATCCTGCTCGATCAAGGACTCAGGGCTAAGGTAACTCATGTTTATGTTCACAATCAATCTCCTGGTAGGTGGATCAATTATTGCTTCTCATTCTGAAACCTATATGACAGGTCGCGGATTTTGGGTTGACGATGTTAGCAGAGAGATCGATTGAAGAAGACTTTGTTGTGACTAGATTGATGGGAACACCAGGTTACATGGCTCCAGAGTAAGCCCTTAATCTCTCTTACAAGCCACTGATGAATCATAACTCACTTCCTTCTATTTTTGCTTGCTAGCTAAGTCATTGAACCTTGGGCTTTCATTGGACATATGCAGATGTGTGCGTGAGCTCCAAATAACGACCAAGAGTGACGTATTTGCGTTTGGAGTGGTGCTGGCAGAGCTCATAACTGGGCGGAATGCAATAGTGCATGACCACCTGCAACCCTCGGGGATGAAGTCACTGGCCATGACTGTAAGTTAAAACTGCATCCCTGAAGAATTTGACCTGTCCTGATAAATAATCCAATATCCTGCCAAGCTGCCACCTTTTATAATATGTGTGACTGAATATGAATTGGGATGATCAGATGGTTAAAATCTTCCGAGATCAACACCCGGAGATGGCTCTTGAAACCATCATAGATAGTAATCTGAGAAGAAGCAGCCTATTGCAAGACGTACACAAGGTTGTATCAGTTCATAGTTCATACGCTAGCTGTTGGGATATATATGTGCATTTTGGGACATTTAACTCATGTGACAATGTTCCCATTGATTAATGGTAGATGGCGGAGGTTTCAAGATGGTGTCTAAGCGAAGATCCGTTGAGCCGACCGGAGATGGGAGAGGTGGTGCAGATGCTGAACCAGATATTGATCTCTTCCGTGGAGTGGGAAGACTCACTTGGAGGAAGCAGTCAGGTTTTTTCTGCTATGGACATTGGACGTTGACCAACTAGGGCTTTGTATATGTCAGACTCAGAGTCTCAAGCAATACGCTTTGTTTGTATATATCAGCAGCAATACACTAGATGTCAAACCGGGTACCTCGGAGATCTAGTTATTTTCTGAGTTGGACGACATGCTGCTTTACTGGTTTGATCTTACTTTCTTTGTCTCTTGCTTATGAAGGTCTCTCACAAATGTTTGTTGCTTGGAAGTTGGAATATCCTAATTGAACCGTAGCAGCTATGTTGTTGTAGCATGGCATGGAAGGGACATTGCATTCCATATAAAGATCTCACTGCAATCTGTTCCTAAACTGAAATGTTACTGTTGAAACTAAAAGACTCAAGACATCATTCAGCAGAGCAACAATCAGCAACTGGGGTTCAGAGTATTCACTATCAATTGAATGACTTGATCGGTGGATCCTTAATAGCTTGGAACATTTCAATATTTTCTAAAACTTTGGACACAATCCGGCATAATTAAGAGTTTATAGTGCAATAAACTACGATGGTTAGTTAGCTCAACATTGTATTGATGTTGAAGACTCTGGTTGCTCGTCTGGCTTGTTGTGCGTTGCTCGGATGGGCATGAACTGCTGGCCATTGGGGGCCGTCATCAAGGTGCTTCTGATTTCTACTTTGCCAAGATGCTAGAGCCACTATTTCTCTTGCGACCTCAAGAAGTCTACCAAGGGTTGCTGGTGGAGCGATCGATGGATCCTTGCTTCGAGATTGTCATCATTTTCTTGGGTCAAATTCTCTTTGTATAGATTTTAGGGCAATTTAGAGAACTGTCAACGGAACTTCTTATAAATTGGCACGTAAAGCTCTATTGTTGTCTTCTTTAGAAACTAGCTTGTTGTCTGACCTGTTGGTCGGAATGTCATTTGAATATAATGTATTTATGATGTGTACTTAAATTCTTTAAATTATTTGTAATGCTGAATTTCGTATGACATTAATGTGACATCGAAATTATTTTTCCATTTTCAAAGTTCTTATATCTATTCATCAACGATGAACATTGTAATCGTAATTGTTATAACCAAAGTTGTCAAACCAATTTAAGTCGTTGAGTCGGTCAAGCAAGTTGTTTGAAGTTTAATGGTTTGATTGAAGTCCAGACTGTTTGAGCCGTTTCACACCTTTTCTAAATATATTTACATATAATATAGAAATTTTGTAACTCAAATGAAATTATGTACCAACTTATATCTATTAAAAACTCAAATTCTATAAAAAAAATATCTATCTCAAGATCCACCCATCATCCCCTTGCCTCTCTCCCCCCTCCCCTTTCCCTCTCTCTTCTTCTCTCTCTCTAACGATCAGACCCTTGGTTTTGTAGAGCCCGTTCTGGAGCACGATTTTGGTCGGATCTAGTCCAAGCAGCATCCCGGTAGAGGTGTAACAACCTTGGTTGTAACACTCGTGAATAACCATTCATAACTTGTTTATTTAATGATGTAGTCACTTAGTTGCCTATGGTTGAAAAGAAAATTGGCATAACAAAAAAACAGTTTGTCTGAAAAGAGCATAGCATAAATAGGAAACTCATGAGCATAATCTTTAGTCAATATTTATTTCTTTTGTTTGAGAAACAATACATTTATAGCAATATCTAAACCTTAAAGTATTATGCACAATAAAATACCAAAATTAGTAAGAAAATAACATTTTCCATCCATATAGGGTCAAAACCTGACCTGTCCCTAAACTGACCCTATAGACAAATTGACTCGTCCCGACCCTCAAGGACAAGACGGGACGGGATTGGTCAGTGGGTTTTTAGGGCCAAACTTACACCCCTAGTTTTAATGAAAGTGGTGAACTCTTGGAGGAAACCGACTTTAACCATTAACAAGCTCCCATTACGCCCTGGTATCTAGAGGTCTCAAAATAAAATCCTGCAGAACATGACTCGAGTAACCTACCTAGTCAACAAAATTGCTACCCGAATTGACTAAAAGTCGATAATCCACAACATGCTCGACCGGTAACTTGATTGATTCGAACTTAATTGACCGGGAACGCACCTGATTGACTTAAACAATTACTATATAATAAAATATAGTCTTCTAAAATTAACTTTGTTTCCCCTAAATCTAAGTAAAGTCATTTAACATTTCGTAAAGGAAAGTTCAAAATATGAAATTCACTTGAAATAATGTATTCTTAATAAAATTGGTACATTAAATTCACTTGAACATTAAGTTCTTTAACAAAACTAAAAAATACAAAATATGAAATCAGCACAATGCCAATATTAATAATGAATAATTAACAATTGGGACAATGCATAACATTAACACAGTATTAGAATTAAATTTATGGTTAAAGTAATTTATTGGGTAATTTGATTATTTTAAAATAAATGGAGAAATTTTTGGTTTTTTCAACTTTTTGGGAAGATAAGAAAAGGGAAGTTTGGTGCTTCCATTTTTCTTTTTAATCATACTTTAATTATTGTGGGGGGAGGGATTTTTGTGTTTTTTATAAATGAGAATAGAAAGAAGTGGGAAATTTTGTATTTTTATTTATGAAAAGAGAAATAAAGGGGATTCGTTTTTGTGTTTTCAACTTTTTGTGGGAAGGAAATGAGGGATTCTTTTAATTCATAAATAGCATGTATTATTTCATTAAGAGATAGAAATAGTATAGGAAAAAACCAAAAGCTATGAAACTAGAAAAACAGGTAGCCTAGAAGCCCACAATTCAATCTCATCCCATCTACATTAAGTATTAGCTTGTTGTCCGATCCGTTGGTTGGAATGTCATTTGAATACAATGTATTTATGATGTGTTTTTATTTTTTTAAAATTATTTGAAATGCTAAATTTCATATGACATTAAGGTGATATTGAAATCATTTTTTTCATTTTCGAAATTCTCATAATTTTTCATCAATGATGAACATTGTAATCTTAATGGTTATAACCAAAGTTGTTAAACTAGTTTAAGTCGTTGAGCCGGTCAAGTAAAAAAGATTCATGAGGGCATTGGTGGGATAGAGGTATATCATTTCATGAACCCTACTTGATGTTTTTTTGGAAAGATGCATACAATGTCCAGAAACATGTGAACCATTAGCGATTTTCTGAGGATTCTCAAACTTGCAATAACACATGCTGTTGGAACGTGTGCAGGGAGAAGCTCTTGGCAGCAGCAGGAAAGGATTGGTCGAACCAAATACAGGCAGTTGGGAACCTGGCAATGCTGTTTTGAGTTGGCCGACAGGCAACAAAAGGAAGCATCGATGAAATGCCAGGATTTTTTGCAGAGCAAATAGGAATTCTATACACTGTCAGCTTAACCGTCATATCCAATTGTACAAGATACCCTTCATAGAGAGTACTTGTATGTAGCCCTTACTGCACTACCAGACTTTTATGCTACCTTAGTTGCATTCATCCAGAGAACAAAAATGTGTGGAAAGAATGACTAATGAAGCCATGTTTAATGTACACATTGCACATACAACTAAAGCAAAATTCGAATGCCAGCAAACTACAAAATCTTCTTACAAAACATTTTAATCAGCCTCAATTTCTTGTTTTGGAGTCATTAGTTCATCGCTGCTAACTGCGTTTTCTGGAGCTGCAGCTAAGTCAGTGGGTGGCTCTGCTTCTTCTACCAAGGTTTTCTGATGCAGCTCAAGCTTCTGCTTCAGCTGGTTGATCTTACTATCCTTCTCTGCAAGCTTCTCTTGTGAGATGATCTTACTATCCTTCTCTACAAGCTTCTCTTGTAAGATGAGCACCTGCACCAAAATTAGCGCCTCTTTGTTAGCAATAACGAGATATATGTCCATAAAAAGGACAGAAAGTTGAGGATGCCAGATAACTAACCATTTCATTTGCCTTCTCGACATCATCTGTTAGGCCCTCCATGTGTTTGTACAAGCCTGTATAAAACAGGAGAAACCGATGAAACTCTTCCAAAGGATCTAAACTGTGGAAAACATAACAAGATCCGTTGTATGCCTAACCTTCATACTGATTTCGGAGCTCCGCATTATGAGATTTCTGCAAAGCGAGCTTCATTCCCAACTCATGGATCTGTATATCGTATAGCAATAGCATTGAGCTAATGGACATAATAATAGATGATTGAGGAACTACCAATCAAGAATATGCATAATAAATAGATGCTTGTATTACAGGCACAAGGCTATACCTTTCCTTCAGCTGCTTGAGCACCAATCTCAAGATTTTCGTCTTGGAGCGTCTTGCACTTTGCCATTAGCATCCTCCCCATCCTGCTTTGGGTTGTAAAATTCATGGCAGCAATGTTGTCCTGTAGTTCCTTCACCTTTTTGTCCTTCCCTTCAACCAAATTCTATAGCAGCACGAATTTTTGAACCATTAATATGTAATGCAGCAAAAGGTGATGTACCATTTCCATTTCCACGGAAAAGGCCAGTGCCATGAAATACGATAATGGCCTCTGATAGCAGAGCCCCAGCTAACTCTAATGTAATTTACGTCCCAACCAACAAAATAAGAAAAAGAGCATACACACACTATCTCACCTGATCATGGAACATTGATTTATATTAAGTAGCAACTATAACAACTACATCAAAGCCAAAGATGTCAATGTCAGGGCACATACTTTCAAGCGAGTAAATTCCTCGTGAATTGCTGGATCAAGGAGCAATCTCCTTGCCTGTCAGATTGGAAGAAAAAATGTAAATCAGAAGCAGCAGCCATACCACAGTAGAGCACCGCAAACAATTCCTAAATCATATATATAAACCTCAGAATAGGGTCTTTAGCATGTTTTAAGTAATAGTTCATCCAAAAGAAACAATGTAAAAGCTGATGGAAACTAATCTCAGATATCTAGTTAGCTACAAAGATACAGGACCACAAAGCACATGGATCAAAAGAAATAATCGAGACACCTGCAAATCTAATCAGGATACCAACCAACACGTTTTATTCAAGGGAAGAGTTTCCCAAATAAGTACCTGCATTGATGGTGGCTTCAGTTGTGCTCTCAAGTCCCGAACTGCAGACTGCAAACATTTGGAACACAACTTATCAAACACAACATGCAAAAGTATTTCCCCGGCACCAATACAAGCAGCACACACGAAAGGAAAACAGATGAATGAAATTGGTAAAGTAAGAAAATACAAAAAAAAAATAATAATAATAAAGCAAGCAGACACAACCTTCAATTCTGCTATCTCCTGCTCTCGCTTGGCAAATGTAACAATGAAGGCTGCTTCCTTTTTCTTTGCTTTTTCAAGCTGATAAAACATATGAGAGACCAATGAGATCAAGATCAAGACTCATGCGCTCTCAGAGCAGAGAGAAATCAAGCATAATACCTGTTCCTCCAATGACTCCTCTGATGATTTCAGAGTCTGAAGATAATTGATGACTAGTTTAGGTTCTACAGAAGCAACAAGAACCCAAGGTTTAACAGAACGAAACAGAACTTGTAGAATGAGAAAATTAAGGTAACAGAAACCTTAACAAAGACCAACCAGGAGATGCCCCTGAGGGTATGAAAGACGAATTCTCAAATGCAGAATGCCACTTCCGAATATCCAACTTTGCTGCTTCAAGCTCCGTCTGTAACCAAGACCACATTTAGAGTATATAACTACCAGTCTACCATCATGGTATAATTCAACAAAAGCTACAGCAAAGTCATGACTTAAGCATAATTGAGTAGCAACAAGCTGTAATCATGATAATCCAAATGAATTATAGCCAACCATTATAGAGACTGTTCTAAAATAACAACCCAAAACTCAATCTTCGCAGCTCTTTTTTTCATTCTTCAATCACATGACACAAAAAAAAAAATAAGTTGCTTCTCATCTGCAACAAGTAATTCATAGAACAAAAACAGTGACGCCAAAAATACCAAACATAGTGGTGTATGCAAATTCGTAGATAACTAGAAAACTAGGGAAAATATAGCTCGTGCAGAGCAATCAGGCTGTTGGGAGCCACAAATCTTATGTAAATTGAAATCTCAAACAAATGGATATTCTGAGGTCAAAAGTGAAACTCATACTTCATATGCTAATGCACAAGCCTCAGGAGAGAAAACACAATAGGCATTTTGGAAATAACCAATTCTAGCGAAACCAAGAATTTGCAAAGCAAGGAGGCAGTGGAACATACTTGGCATGTCGCAACTCATACTTCATATGCTAATGCACAAGCCTCAGGAGAGAAAACACAATAGGCATTTTGGAAATAACCAATTCTAGCGAAACCAAGAATTTGCAAAGCAAGGAGGCAGTGGAACATACTTGGCATGTCGCAAGGTCATTCCTGCAGGTATCAAGGCTGTAAAAGGAAAGTCCGAGAAATAAGTTGTAAGGATCTTGATTGGTTAGTAGTAAAAGAAATATATAGTCAATCTAGTTCCTTCGTGAATTAAGCCACTAAAAACCTTACAATACCTCTCACGAAGAGACAGAATCATTGCGGTTTCTTCTACCTTTGAATTACCCTGCAGTAACAAGATTGTGATTTTTCATTATCCCTCAAACAGTTTCCACTTCCAAGAAAAGTCAAACTACGCCTAAATGAAAGTACTACAGGACCTATATCCCACCGGAAGATTTATGGAACCCTATGAATCACATTCAGATTATGAGAACATCTCCAATGACGTCCTCACGACAATGCCCTCAAACTTAAATTGAGCATGTAGAATTTGATGATGCAGAAGGAGATGAACACAGAACACAAGATTTTACGTGGTATCCTCGATCGAGACTAATCCACAGTGAGCAAGGAAAGAGAGAAAGCAGTTAGCAGTTGTCCTCTCTTCTCTGCTCTGGTAAGAGCGCCGCCGATAGTTCCCAGTTCAAATTCTCAGAATTCCCCACAGTAACTCACTCGAAAGAACAGTAGGTTCATTAAACATTCAAGCTTGACACCTCTATATCCAAAGAACAGTAACTCACTCCCTCCATCGAATACCCTTCAGTCGTGTTCACCCAAGGTGCAAGTCAAGAGCTTTACCTTCTTGGAGCTAAAGAGATCATCTTCATCGTCCTCAAGATCCCCAAAGCTTCTCTTATTACCCGAGCGCCGGCAGTTGTGGGTTCCACTGAAATCACCGCCGAAGTCATCGTCCTACACGAATCACAATTTTCACAAAACCTCACAACCCAAAACAGAAGAAGAATATGCCCTAACGACGGACACCAATGACCAGAAAAGAGGAGGATGAAAAGGGGACTGACGTCTTCGAGATGGTTGCGAGAAGCCATTCCGCAATGCGATTTTCTGGCAGTATAAATCCTAACAGAAGTGTTTGTCAATTCAAATCAGCGTTTAGTCGACTGTGTCTCGACTCTGGTTGTCCTTCCTTCCTTTCCTCTCCTTTCTTCCAAAAAAAAAAGAGTTACTATTCGTCGCCCTAAATTTTTAAATTTTGTCGCCCTAAACCATACAAATTTACAAAACAACCCTTCATTTAATTGTATGGTTCAACCACCTAGAATTAATGCCCCAACCAACTAACCCAACCCATTTAACTCTTTCTTCCAACAGAAAACAGAAATATCAAACCAAAAATTAACTCCAAACCACACAACACAAAATCCAACTACAATCTTCTACATTGATAAATTTTCGCCTGATTCCGGCGAGTTTGCCGGAGGTAGAGAAGTAGTCGGTCTCGATCGTCATAGCATGCAGGGACTCGGGCTAAAGGTAAGATTTTGTTTGCAATTTTTTTTTCTTCTGGAAAACAAGTCGAGCATGTTGAAAATCGGCCTCGACCGGTGGTCAAGCATGTTGAAACCCTACATCAGCCATGGAACGGACGTGTTGTCAACCTGCCCGTTCCATCCTCCAGGAATGCTCGCAACATGCTCGTCCTCCTGTCTAGGCATGTTTTCAACATGCTCGTCCTCCTGTTTAGGCATGTTTTCAACATGCTCGACCCACGGTTCTTTCTTGTTTTTAACATGCCCGTCACTCGGTCGGGTCTAGTTTTGAACATGCTCGAGTTAATTTTGTGATGTCATGGACCTTTTTTAATGAAAATTCACATAAATTATAATATTATGTTCATTAAGTTTCGTTGTTAATTGTGTTTATTAGGAAGGAGGATAAAAACCTTGTGCCACCATCATTTACTAACAAGGAAACTATTATGGATGATTCGGTAAGTAGTTATTTTTTATAATTTAATTATCGTAACATAATTGTTGCACAACTAAATGTTTTTACCTTGTATTTCTTGTAGGGTGGATCCGGAGTTAATGAGGGTGAATATGTTGATTACACATCATTGTTTCTAAGTGATGTTTATGATACCCATGATCAAGCTTGTAAAGCGGCAAAGGAGATTGCCATGAGTAATAGCTTTTCCTTGATAGTGGCATCAGTCAAGAGAAACGTTGGAGAAGACAATCCGCGGATCTATATGGATTGCAACCATGGTAGTAGGAGCAACTCATATACGTCTGATCCCGCAAAGACAACACGGAGCAAATCTACAACAGGCAAGTTAGGTTGTCGTTTCCGAGTGGTGGTGCAATCCGTAAAAATAGATGGCAAGTGTAAGTGGAGAATTCATGGGATTAAGTCGAGGGGATTTCACAGTTACAGATTGGAGGTTTACTCTGAGGGAAGCAGGCAAAAGAATGCTCTTTCGCAGGTGGAAAAAATGAATATTAAGGAGTTGGAGGCAACACATACCCAGGCGAAAGATATCAGAAGTTTGCTCAATATGAAGTACGATGCTCATCACAACATGACTCAGATTTATAATGAGACAGCAAAAATTAGGCGTGAGAGATTGGGTGGGTTGAAACCTATGCGGTGGACATTGATAGAAGCTCAACGTCTTGGCTACTTTATTGAGTGTGAATTTGATGATCAACGTCGTGTTACTAGACTCTTCCTATGTCATCCTGAGTCGACTCGGATATTGTTGGCATGGTATTTTGTTGTTTTGATAGACTCGACGTACAAGACTAACAAGTATAAGCAGCCACTGGTTCAGTTGATTGGTGTTAGTCCGGTGAAGAAGAACTTCAACATTGGGTTCGCATTGATTTCAGATGAGACGAAGGAGACATATGCTTGGGTTTTGATGCAATT